TGAGGATTGTAACCAACGCTACCAACAAAAATGTGTATGAACTATTCAACAGAATTAACTTACACTGAAAAAAAATTTCAATCAGCCAATAAAAACTCTGTGGCTCACAACCATGTGCTCCCACTGTGCATGATGTCACCATGCATTGGATTGGCTCAATGGTAGTTAATAATAACAGTAACAATAAGTGTGTGTAGGACCCAACAAATGTGAGAAACCCGGGGGAAGATAGAATTTATTTCAATTACTGGCATGAAGTTATATATAATAATCACTTCAGAAAGGAAACTTGCAAGAACTATGGATTTTAATTCATTAAAAGCATTTACATACTCTCTGCACAATATTAGGCACCAAGGACAGAATAATGGAATGAGGAACATACCCTGAAAGAATTCAGAGCCTCACTTCCGGACTTTGCTTATAACTGAGGACAAGTAGCTCCTCTTTTCCTATAGCATTTGAACTAACATATAGCATATTTCTTCCAAATTACCCCCACCTCAAAATAAGACACACTGATTCAGACTTACTGGAGGCTGGATTGGAAGTGAAATATCTGATCATTGTCTGCTGCAGAGAAGGGACTCGCCACAAGCAGAACACAATGACATTTGCAGCTATGATACCTACAAGAGAAATATTTATAATTTAGGGAGATTAAAAATGAAAGCAAACATCTGCCTATATTTTGTCCCTGGAGGCCTTTGTTCTACAACAGCAGAGTATGTACAACAGGGAACATATTTTGACAAATTCTAAAATATTTACTATTTGACCCCAAGGAGCAAAGCAGAGGAGTAAGATGAAAGAAAGGCTGTCTACAGTCCACTCTTACTCAGAGTTTTTACAACATTTCTTGGGAGAAGGGATGCCATCAAATCAATTAAAGATAGCAAATAAAATCAATATTTTTAAAGGTTGGTAAAGTCAGAGAATTCACTGGACAAATAGCAAATGTGCTAGGAGCAAGGATCCTTCACTCAGGTCCTTATTTTACTTTGTGAAAAAGTTTATTATTCCAATAAATGTCAGTATTGCAGCTATTGCTAAAAGCCAAGTCAAGGAGAGATGTAATTTACAAAATGAAATTCTTTGGCAAGAAGAGAAAAGTTATAAAACTCAGCGAGCGCTTTTTCCTCCCCAGCAGGGAATATAATTTTAAAACTCACGTAGGATTATTGAAAACGTAAGAATCATCTGAGGAGATGAAGGTGATAAAAATTCAGAAATAACTGGAAGAATTTTGCAGTTCCTTTTGAAGATGTTTAGATATAGGTGCTAGGTGACTATTTCAATTTTCTGCAATAACTGACATTGCTAGAACTACCACTGAACTGAGTAATTTTATTAATATAACTGTTTAAAAACATCTTAGAAAATAAATTAAAATTGTTCTTGAAAACCACAATTGTGAGAAGCCAAATTTCAAACTAAATATTAATGATAAACCAAATGCTATAGCAGCATATGAGGGAGGCGCAAATATAAGCTGGAATTCCCCGAGATAGATCACAGGGGTCAAGACCAAGGCTGAACTTCAAGCATTTCCACAGTTCTTGGATTGTTATTTACTAAACCCTCCCTCCTGAGTCAAGCATAACGTTTTCAATAGAAAGAGCTTAGCTTCATTTGCATAGAATTCTCTGTGATTTGCTCCCTGTCAAAGTCACAAGGAAGCTGGATTCTGACTTCAGTTTTCCAGCTGTTTGTCCCCTACCTTTATGCTCCCTGTTTTCGCCTCCATTCTTGGTGTCCCTGACTCCTCCTCTAGTCTTGTCCTCGGCCAACAACATACGATCTTTTAAAAATACCATTATTTTTATGAATTTTTAACTCCTTGCACACGACATTCATCTATTTGTAAAATTAAAGGAATTTGAGTATTTATTCACTCTTCGCAGTATCTTTAGGCAACGGGAAACTAATGCTTTCCAAATTCTTCAATGACAAGAAGGACTGATTCCAGCAACATTGTGGTAAAAGGACTTTTAAAAGAAAATACAGTCACTATACAGTCCCTGTGAGCTGCTGCCTCTTGGGGTTCCCCCCACACCCCATTTCCATATCTGTTTTTCTGTAAGGTTCTCAGTCATACTCTCACATCCTCATCTCTCTAGATTTTGCTTCTCTACACAAGTGAGGAAAGGATGCAAACATATTTCATATACTATTATTTTTTCCCTGTTTTGACACTGGTAAGTGCCACAGCATTTCTGGCAACATTTTTTTCTTTATCAACAGCACATGTTTACTACGTGCCACTGAACTGACTGAAACCATTGCAACAGAAATCTTACTAGCAGAGAGCTTGACGTTATACCATTTCCAGTAAATTAACTATAAGTCTCTCGAAGACAGTCACAGTATTCAGGATTAGAAAAGGAGTCACATGCAGGGCAAGCTTGTCTTCCCAGTGAGAAACCTGGAACTGACATGAGGGTATCCTGACAGGATGGGCAGAGTCTTCTGATCAGACAAGGTAACTGAACCTTGGGTTTATTTCCAAAGAAGCAAGCAGCAACTGGTACTGTGTAGTATAATGAATTAATGTGGCTCTTCCACCCATGCCCTTCCATTTTGTGATGAATTAGTCACTGCATTAAAGAGAAAGAATCAGGATGGGAGGTAAGCCCTACCTTCCAGAGGCCTATGGAAGCTCATCACCCACTCTCCTGGAATATGGCAATCAGCTGAGCCACACCTGACTATCTGTAGGATTCTGGCCCATCACTCCCTAATCTCTGCTACAATGGCCTACATCACCCACAGTGGCGTGAGCCATTTCCTGAGGGATTCAGAGTTTCTGTGCGAACTTCCAATGAACCAGAGAATCCAAGAGACCCACAGGAGTGGGAGAATGGAATGGAGGAGGAGTAATTAATGTTGAGATGATGGAGTGGTATGATATTTGGACTACTGTCAATCTCCAGTTGATAGGAAGAACCTGTTTTCTAATGATTGTAAAAGAAATTATTTGTGCATACTGCCTGGAGTATTTCACCTTCTCAGGGAAGAAATAAACATCTTTTTCTACTCAGAACACACTCTGAGGCCTCAGGTATTGTACATAGTGATCAAGATCTCAAGCTGAGAACCATAGACCATGTTCAGTAGTAGTGACATTTTCACAATGTTGTATTCATATCCAAGAGTATGTTATGTTCTTTCATTTATGTAGGTCTCTTGTAGTACATTTTGTAGTTCTGTTTGTACAGGTCTTTTATAACTTTGGCTATTCAACTTTGGGGTGGCTAACATTAATGATACCAGCAGTCAGGAAATAAGGAGATGCACTGCACTGGGAAAGTCTGCAGTTAGGGAACTTTCCAAATTATTGAGGAGTAATGCAGTCAATTTGAAGAGTAAGATGTGTCTGATTCAGGCCACGGTCTTTCTGATTACTAGCTATGCACCCGAGACCTGCACAATGAATAAGGATGAGAGAAAAAGAATTGACGCCTTTAAACAGTAGTGTTAGAGAAGAGCACGGAACATCCTATGGATGGCCAAGAGAACAAACAGATGTCTTGGAAAAGGTGAAGATGGAGTGCTCTTTGGAGGCTTTGCCTTACATACTTTGGACATGTTGCTAGGAGGTGTTATTCCTTGCACAAAGACATAATGCTGAGAAGAGTGGAGGGTCAGCGAAGGAGAGCAAGACCCTCAAGCAGATGGAATGACACAGGATAGAACAGGGTTCAGATATTTTGTTCATAGGGTCACTATGAGTCATGCTCAACTTGATGGCACCTAAGAATAACAACAACAACAATGTTAATGGTATGGTTTTCCTTATTTCCTTTTCATAGTCCTCTCTGTGACTGTACAGGAATCTGACTGATTTTTTTATACTGATCTTGCATCCTTATCATTTTGCTGAACTGGTCAATTTGAACTAGTAATTTTCTGGCTCAGTCTTTCTGATTTTCTATATACTCTGCAAGTTAAGGTATTTTTATTTCCTCTTGCCAATTTGGAGTCCTTTTATTTTCTTTTCTTATCTTATTGCTCTGCCTAAAAGTTCTGGTACAATACAAAATAGGAGTGATGATAAAGGGCATCACTGACTCCCATACTAAATGCAATGCCTTTAACATCTACTGAGAGTAAGGACAGCCAATGGTTGTGTATGTGCTTTTAATGAGCTGCATAAATTCCCTCCTACTCCTATTTTGTTGAGTATTTTTATCAGGAAAGTGTGCTGAGTTTTGTTAAATTGCTTTCCTGCATCAACTAATATGATCACATAGTGAGACAGAAAAATTACGCCTTCAGATGGAGGACACTGTGAATGAAAAAAGGCAAGTTGCAAGGCACAACATCAAGCCGTGAACTTCAGCTGTGTTCCCATTCTCTAGTAGTGAAAAATCCAAAACAGAAATGAAGAAAACCATTCCATTTACAACAGCATTTGAAAGAATAAAATGTCTAGGAAGAACTTTAGGCAAGGAAGTAAAATTATACCAAAAACTAGAAACCACTGCTGAAAAGGGATTAAGGGATAATTACACAAATGTAAGGGTGTACATATTCTGGAAAATGTTAACCCCAATAGCTCTTTTTTTTGTCCAACAAAAATGGAAAACCCAACTGCCATGTTTACATGGAATTGCAAGGGAATTACAAAAGCCCCAACAATCTTAAAAGAGGAGAACAAAATTAGAGGGCTCACACTTCAGATTTCAAAACTTACTAAAAAGCTACAAAAATCAAACAGTGTGGCATTGGCAAAAGAAAAGACAAACCAAGAAACAAGAGTCCAGAAATAAACACATACATCTAAGGCCAACTGATTTTTAAAAAGGTGTCAAGTCTATGCAACAAACAAACAGTAGTCACACCAATGAACAGCGCTGGGAAAACTGGACATGCATAAGCAAAGCATGAAATGGGATCACCTCTTCTCAACAAATATAAAAATTAAACCAAAATAAATTAGTGACCTAAACATAAAAACTAAAACCACAAAAGAAAACCTACCAGTAAATCTTGTTTGACAATGGATTCTTAGCTATGACAACAAAAGAGAAAAAAGATTAAAAGACTACAGAGTACCAAGTTTGGGAGAGAACATGGGGAAAGTGGGACCTTTATTTATTCCTTTTGAATGTAAAATGGTGCAGTTGCTGTGGAAAAACAAATAAAATCAAACTTAGAGCCACCATATAGCCCATAAATTTTACTGACAAATATTCAAAATAATTGAAAGCAGATAATAAAACAGACACGTGTATACCAATCAATGTCATGGCAGCAAGATTCCCTATTAACAGCCTAAAGGTGGAAAATAAAAATACACATCAGCAAATGAATGGATAAATAAAATATAGTACATACGTCTGTTCTGTCTATCTGTTCTGCATATAGACTAAAAAGTTATGGAGACAGGATACATTCCTGGAGTACATCCTTCCTAATTTTGAACCATGCAGTGTCTCCCTGACCATCACCTTCTGGTCCAAGTACAGGTTTCACATAAGCACAATCAAATGTTCTGGGATTCCCATTCTTCTCAGAGTCAGGCAGTTTGTTGTGATCACACAGTCAAACAGCTTTGCATAGTCAATGAAACACAGATAGGCATTCCTCTGGTACTCTCTGCTTTCAGCCAAGATCCATATAATATTAGCTATAATATTCCTAATACCACAGCCTCTTCTAAACCCACAGCCTGCACAGATGGCAGTTCTCTGTTGATGTACTGCTCCAGTCATTTTTGGATAATCTTCAGCAGAATCTTGCTTGCATGTGATATTAATGATATTGTTCGATAATTTCCGCAATCTGTTGGGTCACCTTTCTTTAGAATGGGAACAAATATAGTTAGTTGGCCAGGTGGTGTCCTGCAGATTTCATGGCACTACTTAGTGAGCCATTTGTCCTAGAGAGGGTGAAGCTGGGCTGCTCCTTGGAGGCAAGGATTCTGAAGCTTCGTCTGACATACTGTGGACATGTTGCAAGGACCAGTCCTTGGAGAAGGACGTCATGCTTGGGAGGATGGAGGGACAGCGCAGGAGAGGAAGACCCTTGATGAGATAAACTGATTAAGTGACTGGGGTAATAATGGGGGCAGGTGTGTCGGAGATGAGGATATTGGCACACGATAGGGCAGAATTTAGGACTGTTGTACACAGGGTCACTACGAGTTGCAGGCAACTCAACGGCACATAACAACAACCTAGTAAGCACATCCAGGGCAGCGTCTGTTTGCTGAAATATGTCAAATGGTATGCTGTCAATTCTTGGGGCCTTGTTTATTGCCAATTCTTTCAGAGCACCTTGAATTTCTTCCTTCATCACCACAGGCTCTTGCTTATACATTGTTTCATGACATTCTTCTGTGTCAGCCAATTCCTTTTGGTACAGTGACTCTATATACTCCTTCCATCTCCTTTAAATGCTTCTTAGATCATTTAATATTTTGTCTAAAACATCCTTAAGTATTGGAACTTGTGGCCTGAGTTTGTTCTTCAATTCCTTCATAAGAAATGCTGAGTGAGTTCAGCCCTTTTGATTTTGACTCCAGCTTTGTGCACATTTCATTATAATACTTTGTCTTCCTGAGATGCAGAACAGATCATCTGGGAAGCTGGGCTCTATTAGGAGGATTGTGGCATCAGGATTGGAGGAAGACTCATCAACAACCTGAATTATGCAGATGACATAACTCTGCTTGCTGGAACTGAGGAGGACTTGAAGCGTTTGCTGCAGAAGATCAAGAACTACAGCCTTCAATATAGATTGAAGCTCAACATCAAGAAAACAAAGATTCTCACCACTGGGCTGATTGGCAGCATTTTGACTGATGGTGAAGATACTGAGATTGTTAATAGCTTTCGTTTGCTTGGCTCCGCAATCAACACTCACGGTACTAGCAGCCAGGAAATCAAGAGACGAATTGCACTGGGAAAGTCGGTTGTCAGAAGCCTCTCCAGAATATGAAATAGCAATGAAGTCAGTCTGGAGACTAAGGTGCGCCTGATCCAAGCCATAGTCTTCACAATTGCTTGCTATGTGTCAGAGAGCTGGGCAATAACTAGGGATGACAGAAAGAGAATTTATGCCTTTTTTTTATTTTCTTTTTTTAAATAATATTTATTTTATGTGTGTACCATCAAATTGGATCTGACTGGTACAGGAGGCAATTGTTCCTCCTTCTTCAGCAGAGCATCTGGTGGATTTGAACCGCGCACCTCTGGGATTGCAGTGCAGTTTCCTGCCACTAGGCCACCAGAGCTCGCCAGAATTTATGCCTTTGAGTTGTGGTGCTGGAGAAGAATACTGAATATACCATGAACTGCTAGAAGAACAATTAGGTTCATCCTAGAGAGGGTGAAACCAGGCTACTCCTTGGAGGCAAGGATTCTGAGGCTTTGTCTGACATACTGTGGGCATGCTGTAAGGAGCAGCATGTCCCTTGGAGAGGGACAGCATGCTTGGAAGGGTGGAAGGATAGAGAAAGAGAGGAAGACCATTGATGAGATGGATTGATTTAGTGACTGGGGTAATGATGGTAGGTGTGTCAGAGACAGAATAGTTGGCACAGGACAGAGCAGGTTTCAGAGTTGTGGTACGTAGGGTTGCTATGAATCACAAACAGCTCCACGGCACAAAACAACATGTAGTACATGCAAGATGTAGTACAAGTATCACTCAGCCAGAGAAATGAGATTCTAAAACACAACACTGATGAATCTTAGAAACATACTACATGAAATAAGCCACACCAAAATATTTATTACTGTCTGATTCTCCTTATATGAAATATCTAGAATAGACAAATTTATAAAGAGAAAATAGAGGAAAGGAAGTGATGTGGAACTAATTGAAATAGGTACAAAGTTTCTGTTTGAGGTTATGAAAAAGTCTGGGTAACATGGTGCTGCTGGTTGAACAACACTTCGAATGCAATTAAAGGCACTTAACTGCACACGTGAAGAAAATTAAAATAGAAAATTTTATATTACAAAGAATTACTACAATTAATAAAAAAATTTAAAATATTATACGCACTCTTTTGCCACTTAAGTAGTTACAGAAAAGGAAGTGAAGGTACCATTAAATCTGTCTGAAAACAAAAACATTTTCAGTCTCAGGGATTTTTTTTCTCCCTATCAGCATAATTGTTGAGTAACTTCAAAGATCACCTTTCCAACATCCTTAAATGAATAAATTTACGTAAAACTGGTGCAAGGTTTACATTGAAGAACTGTATTAATATTTCCATAAAAATTCAAAGAAAAAAATCTTCACTGTGTAATGCATGGAACATTTTATAAACAGCACGGTATAGTATAGAGTGTGGACTTCAGACTGATAGAGACTTGGGTTCTAAGCTCACTCTACTATTTACTGCAAGTGTAATCCTGGATAGGGTCTTCTCCGCAAGTCATTTTCCTTATTTGTATAAAGGGAGATAATGACCAGAAACAAGCCTGTGTAGGAGGGAGAACGTGGATAAAGGTTTTTGTGTAGAGAAGGTCGGGCCCCTGATGATACGCAGTGGTTAAGTGCTTAGCTGCTAGCCAGAAGGTGGTAGTTTAGATCCATCAGTTGCTCTATGGAGAAAATAGGAGTCTTGCTTCCATTAAGCTAATAAATACCCTTGGAAACTCTATAGGGCAGTTTTATTGTCTTACAGGTTGTGATGAATTGATGGATTTGGTTTTTCTTTGGTTATACAGAATTATATATACAATGTGTTAAGCAGGAATTGCTATTCACTTATGTCATAAACTAGGATTCTAAAAGACCACTTGCTCAGAAACATACTAGATAAGAACTAGAAAACAAGTGACCCAGAGCCCCATGAAATCTACTCTACCCTAAACAGTACTTTATTAGCCTACAGGCACAGAAAAGGGACCTCTGGTGGCCTCATCTGTAGGGAGCTGCAGTGTTAACCCAAAGGCCACACTGGAGGTCTGAATCCACCAGTGGCTCCAAGGCAGAAAGAACAGGCAATCTCTTCTTGTGAGACCGACAGCCTTGGAAATCCAATGGAGGGCCAACTATGAGCCAGTACCAACTTGACAGAAATGGAAGAAACAAAGAAGAGGTACAGAGACTGCGAACCCACTGATGAGCACAGTACAAAGCCAATGCCTAGGACATACTGTACCTTTTGGTTTGATTTCTCTTCCCTTGAATGGCTAAAACGTGTAAGCTAACACAAACCTGTCACAGTCCGCTGGCCATCACTTAGGTTATTCCACCACTTGTTAATCTAAAACAAAAGGAAAATCACGTATCACCCTATGTTATTTAGTTATAGGCTGGAAAAAATGAAAATACCTTGTGTAAAAAAGAGGGATTCTTCATCTGTAAAATCACGGGAGAACAACAGACACAGTAACAGTGGTAAAAAGGAAAAGATGTACTTCATACTTACACAGACCTAGATCTTCTACCAAGAGTTTCCAATAACTAGTACCTTGGACAAGTTATTTCTAAAACTGAGACTAAAATTTTCACATTTTCCTCATCTGTAAAATACATGGAGACAATAATAGGTATCTGGCAGTGTTGTACAGTGCCCTGGTGGCACAGTTGTTAAGTGCTTGCCTCCTAAATGAAAGGTCAGCAGTTTAAAGCCACCAGCCACTGCAGGACACAGATGTGGCCCTCTGTTTTCACAAGATCACAGGCTTGGAAACCCCAGGAGGCAGTTCTACCTTGTCTGACAGGGTTACTAGGCATCAGAACTGACTCTGGCAATGGCTCGGCAGCTGTGCTGTCGTATCATTAATATGAGGAATACCACCAATAACAGATATAAGCAGATACTAAGCACAAGTTTACCGACATTTAATCTGGTTTTAAAATAGTAGTATTTTTTACTAAAACTGTTAATTAAAATGTTTAAAGATGTGATGATAGTGCTATGGTTTAGGAAAAAAAAAACATTCCAGGGAAGAGAGGCGCATTCTAATCATTCAAGGATACATACTGAAGTTTTTACAGATGAAATGATGTCTAGGATCTGCTTTTTAACTAATTATCTAGCAGTAAGGAGGAGGGAGAGTACAGAAGGGTACAAAACACAAAGTTGTATGTGCTCAGGGAGTTTACTCTGTTTTTTTGTCTATCTGGGATTTTCCATGATTAAGGTTTTGAACAGGGAAATAAATCATGGGATGATTTTTCCCCCACCATCCTTAAAACCACTGGGGATCAAAATTGCATAGAAAAAATTACATAAAAAAAAAAAGTTGCATAACAAAAATCTATTGTTCAATGGTTTATCTAAGGGGTCCAGGATTATGATAGATGGACTGTCTTCTCAAATATATTGTACTGAAAGAAAATCTAGTACTAGTTATTTATAGTTTTTACCTGCAAATGATGCATTCATTGTTTTTTTGGCATAGTTTCTCTAACACGGGTAACAACTCTGTCTTGGGAAATAATGTATATATGTATCTGCAGCGGTGGGGGAGGAAGACTCATCTTTCCCTACTTAGTGGAATTTCAAACTATCATCGCTGTTGTGTGCCATCGCGTCAGAACCGACCCACTGACTCTGCGGTGGGTTTTCAGAGGCAGTAAATTACATGGCAGGAGAATACTCATCTTTCTTCAGCTGAGCAGCTGGTGGATTTGAACCACGTGCTATTGGGATGGCAGCATAGCTCCTTACCACTAGACTACCAGTGCTCCCATTCCTTTGTTGGTCTAACTGAAAACTCCATTTTTTTCCCTATTAAATCTCTTCTTCTTTTAGCACAGAAAAGGAATTGCTGCTCAAAACAACAACAACAAACCAACAAAAAAGCATGGACTCTTGCTCTGCTTTCCCACTTGGCAGGAAAAACCCCAGCTGCCCACCTCTAGAGAGCAGCAAAATTATCATTAGGGAGAAGGAAATACAAGGTGTCTTTCTCAAGTTTTCCTTGTCTAAAATTAAGTGCCTTGGAGAGATAAAAATGACATCAACCCTCTCATCAACAAACTAGAGGGGCAGTGTGCTGTAGAAGCAAAAAGATAAACAGTCATATAATGGAGTATTTATTACTCAGTAATAAAAGGAAATGAGTGTGTCATGGCAGAACATTAAATGATATTGCTAAGAGAAAGAAGTCAGTCTGATTCCAATGGTAATGACACCCTGGATTAAAGATAAAGGCAAAACTATAGAGACACTGAAAAGATCAGTGAGCCAGAGATTCAGGGGAAGAAACAACAAACAAGGTGGAACACAGGGCATTTTCCGGTCAGTGAAACGACTCTAAGAGTCTGGAATAGTCGACATAAGACATTACATGTTTGGCAAAATCCACAGCACCCTACAGTGTACCGAGACCTGTTCATGATACCGGTTTATGTCAAATTTCTGACAAACAGAAGATGTTAATCATTAGAGAAACAGCTTGCAAGAGGAAGAGAGGGCATGTGGAACTAGCATCATCTGCACAATTTTCCTGTAACTATAAAACAAGTCTAAATTTTAAGAGCAACAAAGGTACCTGAAAACCAAATGGACCTAGATCTAAATATTAGCTTATCAATTAAATTGGTATCAATGTTCATCATGTACTGGCAAGTGAAATGAAGAAATTATTTATATATTTTACCTAATAGGTGACATTTAAAAAAAAACAATTCTGAAGGAAGAGTGATAACACTTCACAGATAAAGTAAAACTCTATTTGTGACCTTTTTCTTACACCCTCATTCCCAGAGCACAGTTAGAAACAAACAGCGGTATCTGGATATTAGACATTATGTCACCAGGTTTACTACATCTTAATGTCACCCCGCAGGTAAATGTCTCTGTGGATCTCAATATATATTCTACAATAACACAACAAAAAGATGTAAATAAAACAATGGCCCTTTAACCCTTACCAGGGCCAAGGTGGGAGTGATTCTGAGAATACGAATTTTTAAAAACTATCTCTAGTGATTTCTGACCAACTATCATTGTCAAGTATAATACAATCAAACACACAAAACATTAACACGCATGGAAGATCAAATGACTTTAAAGCGTAATATTAAGTGTCTGACTTCATATCTAACGTGAATATTTCGTTCTGGTAGAGAGAAAGAGTGGAAGACCGTCAACAAGATGGATTGACATAATGACTAACAATGGACTCAACACGTCAAGAGACGGTGAGGATGGCACGGGAATGGGCAAAGTTCAAATTCACTGTTTATGAGGTCATTAAGGTTGCAGAGGACTCGATGGCTCTCAACAACAAGCAGCAGCTCTGGTGGCACAGTCTGCAGAATGCTCGAATCCACCTATCTCCAGCAGTTTGAATCCACCAGTGGCTTTGTAGAAAAAAGGGGAACAAGCCCCCCCCATTTCAATTTTCAGCACTGGAGATGTGATGGAGGGTGACTCTAAGCTGAAACTGACTTGGTGGGAGAGAATTTGTGTTTGAAGTAATATTGCTGTTAATTAAAAGGATTTAAAAAGAATCAGATTTCTAAAAATTGTGAAAAAAAAATGTTTATCCTTACCTCCTTTCTGAAGTCTCCTTCCTTTTGTGGTCTTATGTTATCCAACCAATCAGCTTTTAAACCATCAAAATAGCCCTGGACCCTGGATTTTAGTGATTCATATTGCCAAATAGCAGCTGATCCAAATGCACAGCCTGTAAACTACAGGAAATTAAACACATTACAAAACACACTTAAAAGGGAGAGCAGATCTAGACATATTTCCCAGGGTAATATTTCATTTTTACAACTTTTCCAAACCAAAAGAAGAAACCCCTAGAACAGTGCAAGATACGTATTTGGCATGAGTTTAACAACAACCTCCTAGGTCAAAAGACTATTTCCCATTTTATTAATGTCACAAAACTTCTGTCCTGTTTAAAGTTGGTTTTTTTCGGCCCTCCCCCGCGACCCCGCCCGGCCGTTGCCCGTGAGCGGCCTGGGCGGAGGGGACGGAAAGCAGGAAGGGGTAAACCCAACTCAGTTCGCCATGGGGCTGTTTGGAAAAACCCAGGAGAAGCCGCCCAAAGAGCTGGTCAATGAATGGTCATTGAAGATAAGAAAGGAAACGAGAGAAGTTGAGAGACAAAGAAGAGATATCCAGCGGGAAGAAGAAAAAGTGAAACGCTCTGTGAAGGATGCTGCCAAGAAAGGCCAGAAGGACGTCTGCGTGGTGCTGGCCAAGGAGATGATCCGGTCGCGGAAGGCAGTGAGCAAGCTCTACCCGTCCACAGCCCACATGAACTCTGTGCTCATGGGCATGCGGAACCAGCTGGCCATTCCCCAAGTGGCTGGCTCCCTGCAGAAGAGCACAGAGGTGATGAAAGCCATGCAGAGTCTTGTGAGGATCCCTGAAATCCAGGCCACCATGCGGGAGCTGTCTAAGGAGATGATGAAGG